AGCAGCGTTGAGGTTGCCATGGATGACAAGAAGCCTCGAACGTGCATTGCCACAGAAAGCACCCCACACCATGACACTTCCGCCTCGAAATATGTACACAACATTTGGCGTAACGTTCATGACGGCGCCTCCACACCCTCGCCCTACCATCAGCAAATCGAAGATTTAATCGGGATTCATCATTGAAGACGACTTGATTTCAATTCATCTGAGTCCAATGTAAGTGTCGCTAAGCCAACAATTGACGTTGACGTCTGTGTAGTTGAGTCAGAATCGGCCCGCAGTATGGCCGTCGTATGGCCAGTTCATTTCTGGTTGATGTAGCCGTCAAAAATCTGTTACGGAGGTGACGTAAGACAATCTGACGATCCTCTGCATGTGACGTCACACGTGGTCGACCTGGCCGAGGGCGATCAGCGGTGGTACCCGTTTGCTGTAGACGCGTCTGTAAATCAGTCCGTTGACTACAACCCATCGTCCTTGCGACTTCAGCTAGGGACGTTCCCGTCTGCAACATGCCGAAGGCACGTTCACGTTGCACTTTTGAAAGGCGTGGCGTGACAAATGGCCGTAAAGACTTTTGTTTTCTTGTGTTTTTCTTGTTTTGTTCATGACTGCTAACAAGTATGGCTGAAAACACATGCGGTATTATGGCCACGTGACAAGTTGCACGTGAAAAAACACTTTTGCCACTCTAGTGCTGTGCACATGATTTTGATCGATTCACCTACAGAAAAACGGGTGTTATCTGAAGACATCACGTGGCCATTACTTTTAAATACACAATAAGGGTTCACAATGATAACTGGTCAAAATGTTAGGATTGTGAAGTTTTTGATTTGGTTCAGTATATATCCGAATGTCCCCTGACACATACAGTGTTCAATCCTCCAGCAACACCAACTGCCTCAAAGTATTAAGATCACCGTTGGTTTCTCTAGAAGTACACCACCCATAAAACAAATTTTTTTCTCCCCAATAAACTTATCTAAAGCAGAACCATCCCTTTTCTAAGCAGACATTAAGTGTTGCTTATAAACTTCAGGAACTAATGCATAAGCCTTCAAAACCTCAGCGTCAACAAATTGATCATCAGAACTGCTTTCAAGAGGAAAGGTAGAATACAGTTCCTGAGCGTTTCCCCGAAATACACTTCGCCACAACATGGTCCACTAATCCACACGCCATTTTAAATGTGTTAGCCGCCTTTTCAATATGTAAGAAAAACGTTCCAACATCACCTTCAGAGAAGGGCGGAACAAGTCTAATCTGCTTCTTTAATTCAGTATTTTTTCAGATTTATTTCAAAATATTAGCTTCATAATGCCTAGACCGAAATGCCCTCTCTTCCTTTTTTCCTCAGCTTCAGTTTAAAATTGCTCAATCTGAAATGCTCTCTCTCTTTCCAATATCAATTTTGCTTGTACATGCTCAGCTCCCAATGTCCTTCAAGCCCAAACATCTGTTTTTCTTCAATCAAAGCAAAAGCATTTTAAGCAAAATATCTTTCCTCAAGTAGGTAAGTTTTCAACATTTTCGTGGCATCGGCCTTAGGCTGCGTTCACACAGTGCTGATTATGGCTCCCGTTTGAGATCAGACAGCGCTACAACACAAAACGTCAACAAGAGTCATCCGAGCGGACATATCCCCCCGACGTGGCATGTCGGTAAACTGTGTGTACCTTCATATGTTTTTAGATTGGCAAGGAAATCTTTTTCCTTGATGCCAAAACCAGAAATATAATGAAGGTTATTAAATATTGGTTCATGTAGCTCACTTTCTGATGATCTCAGGAAATTGTTATAACAATAACTTTCAGATTCGCATATGAATAGCTCCGTAGTAGCTTCATGGCACAAAGGCATAAAGAGAATGTACTAGGGATTGACAACAAAAAAACACCTGAACATCTTGTTTCATTATATGTCAGGGGCTACAAATTAAAAAAGATTAAATTCTATAAATAACAAACTGCACTACTAGTGAACATGATTGATATTTGCATAAAGTTTAGTGAATCTCTGTCGCATGGTTTAGAAGATATGCTCCAGACGAGGACATTACCCTAAGTTCATCAATTTTCAATTTAAATTGAAAAAAGAAAAAAAAAGAAAAATCTGTCAATAGCAAAGGCACCACTACATAACCTGCTTGATAGGTGTAAAAACTTTTGAGAAGCTAAGTTGTATGGTTCGGGAGATATGGTCCGGACAAGAGCACTACCCTCAAATTTCCTAGGTTCATCATATTTCCATGGAAACGACAAAAATATAAAATTCTAAAAATCTCTAAATAACAAAAGTGTACCAAGTTTTGTGAAGCTAGGTTGTACGGTTTAGGAAATATGCTCCGGACAAACGATGATTACAGACGGACAGACAGACAGACAGACGGACATACTGATGGCTATATCCCCCCGTCATTAAATGTCGGGGGTATAAAAAGTCGAATCGCTATCCTCAATGAACTGGAATGTCGTATCATTGTCTTGACGCAGTGGTATACGTTCGTAACAAAGTCATACGCATCGGAAAAGGTCCAGAGAGGTCGGCCAAGCACTCCCGACAGTATTGGGCGTCCTGTGTAAAATTCGGGAAACTCAGCCGATTGTGTCTAGTCGAATTACAATCGTGACTATGTCGTGACAGATTCTGCTGTATCGAATCGAAATCATAACAATGTCCTGTGTTGTCTGGACGGTGTCCTGTGGATCGGGACGCTGTCGTGATGAACGGGCATGCTTTGGAGAAATTGTTCATTGCCGTTTCCTGTCGATTGAGTCAAGATTGCATCCAGATCTTGCCGAATGCGAATGTCCTGTCACTGTCTGATCTCTGTCGGATCGCATTCGGGAGAATCGGGACGCTGTCGGGACAGATTCGGTCGTTTTTTACCATGCGGAAGATACAAATCGGATCAGATTCGGATTGAGAACGGGAGAATCGAGACGAATTCGGCTGGAAACGGCTGAATCGGGACGCATCCTGAACAATCTCTGATTGTTGTTGTGATTAAATAAATGTTTTTACAAATTTGTGAATTTCCCGTCAAGAACCACAGGATCTTGATCAGACTTTTGACAAATCTTAATCGGGAATGGTCCTATCAAGGACGGCAGTAAAAATCCTGAATGTGTGACTGAGCCCTTAAGCATACCTAGCTTTGATGTCAAGTTTGTAATATTTGGCCAGTTCAACGAGTTCAGATTTTTTTTACCCTAGAGATTTGTTCCATAGAAGGATGACTTACTAATTTCTTTGCACTACGGACCATAGTGATTATTAGATTCACAGAATATCAGACAATAAAACGTTCATCCAATAGTTTTGATATATCATTTGTGATAAATTAATTGTCGTTCCCAAACGAGCCCCCGGTTTCTAATACGTGTCAACTTCCAAATAAAAACAATAATAGCGGCAGTAACAGCAATAATGACTGATAGCAATATTCGCCCAGCAGCAACAGAGCTCAAGCTTCCAGGATCATCTTCCCCAGGCAAGAGAGTTAATTGACTATAAAAGTCCAGTTTCCACCCTTGCCGAACTAGGCTGGTATTAAGGAGTTACATTTTGGCTGAACTGACGAGTCTGTGCATAGGCCAATCAAAATCGCGCAACGAAATCGAAACCCGGTTCCTAAACTGTCGTGGAGATTTCGGTCGATTGCAGGATTTGCAGAGCATGTGCACCGCCAACTCGTTGTCAACAGATATTTTTTCAAACATTTTCATGTTTCTTCTTATCAAGGTGTTCGCGTGATTTGATGCACTTCGGGATGTAAGACCCCTTTTGATTGGGCGCCGCCATTTTGATTGAAACAAATGCAAGTAATGGAATCTGATTTGTCCATAGGAGAGGTTTAGAAGGGACATAACTCGTAATAACCACTGGTGGCGCTACGATCGAGCCCAGGAATTCAAGCCTAGTTCGGCAAGGGCGAGTTGAGATAGGCCTGTGTTTGCCCTACATATAAATCCCTACTAGAAAATTCTATACCATGTTGGATTAGTCTATAGCTGTTTTGGAAGACATATATGATTACATGTGACGCCAACAGCATCTAAACAAGTAACTTCCACACCACTGCTTACATTAGATAGCACTTCTACCCATTGTAGAAACATAAGGTTATGAACATATACTGAATCTTAACAGAAACATTGTAATATAATTACAACATTGTTCAACAATAATTTACACGGCCATACAACACAACGTTAACGAGCATAACTTTATTCACAAAGATAAGTGAGTTTAATTGTATTATCCAGGCTGGCCCCGGCAGTTTCCTGTTTCCCAATGGATGATATGTTGAAGGGTATAATACTACTATCGTGAAACCATGATAAGTTGGGACCAGGAGCCCGTTCCACAAAGCGATCTTAGTGCTAAGCTGGTGGTAAATCCCGTGCTTTATCAGACAGACAGACAGGTTTATTTGCATTATAGGCCACGTGACCTAAAGTACAAACTTTACAACATTATTTGAGTTACCCCATGAATATATACAGACTCAAATTAACAAAAATTACTTATTAAGAGGAACCGTTCTTAAAAAGATGTGTTAAGAACTTGGTAAATGGCAATAATACATTAATATCTGACGAGGTACATAGGCTTTTAAATGAATAATACTGCTTATTTGACAATTCAGGTAATAACAGTTTACGCTCATCTTCATAATGTTTACAGACATATACAACATCATCAATTTCATCTTCAATTGCGTTGCAATATTCACACAGAATACTTTATCAAAGGCTTACGATCAACATAGCACTAAGATCGCTCTGTGGAACGGGGCCCTGGAATCACATCTCTACTTAACAGGTTTTCTAGTTAATCGACTTATGTTTTTAATGCATTGTGAGACACCAAAGTGCCATTGTACAAAACAACCTGACTGTCGTAAGTCTATGTTAAGGTATGGGAGTAACGATCTAATTAGCGCTAAGATCGTTTTGTGCAACCGCCCAAAATGTAAAACAACTAACATATTTGTCACGTGGTTTATAATCTTTATTTTATGTTTAGATTTCTTGATACAAATCAACAAATAAAAAATTGCATTATGCACACATATCAACTGAATGTCAATCCAAGGGAGCCCCATCGACACGCTAGTTTCTGACTTGGAATGCTCAGTCACACGATGTATAGCTAACCTTTTCCCCTTCACCTTTCAGTGTTAAGTTCATTGGGTAAATATAATTAAAAGCTGTGCCAAACTCCCTCTTCTCTGATACGCCCAAAGCCGACAGACAGTAGCTGAAGAAAAGATGACAAATCTGAATATATGATGTTCCTGGAACGGCTAGTGTTTGACTAATTTTGCACAGAGAAGTACGCATGTTGCACGGTAATCAACCGAAAAATGTTCCCCTCTGGTAGGCCAAAGCCAGCAAGACAACAACAGTGGAAACAATGATAAATCGGAAGAAATAGTTTTCTCCTGCACCGTCCGGTGGTTGGACATTCCTCATTTGCTTAGCATAGTGACCGTGTTCTACAGCATAATTGATTGCTTTCTTTGCTCCACTCCAAGTATGCGGTCCCCACAGTCGAAAGTGGTATGGGAGAGCAGGCCCGTAGTAGTAGAGATAGGCGAGTCGAGGCCCCGCCTTGATCAGGTCCAACAAGGAGGGGGTCACACCTAGCTCTTCTGCCACTTCGTCTCGGAAAACAAGGTTGGGTATCTGAAATATACAATGTACATTTTATGGTAACTAACATCAAATTTAAGTAATTTGTATTGTTGTTTCAACAATATTGTAGGGTGTGGTGTACACAAATACTTCCTGTGAATATATAGAAAGTCCTTCCTTGATTGTGTTAATGATTAGGGTTAATCTTTGAGACAAGGATGTGGTGGTACATTTGCTGGACCCAGAAATATACCCATCCTTGCACGAATTGTTATGGAGCTTCGGTATCCAGTACACGAGAGGAATGGAAATGTCTTCGAAACAAAAGTCCTTCACTGAATGTATTGAGGATTATGTTAATCTTTGAGACACGGATTTACATTTACTTCGTTATTCACTAACCAGATATTTGTAGCGTCCAAATTTTTCAAATAAAGAGGAGTTCATTTTTTCCACAACATCCGCCATGACCTTCAAGGAAGGTAGTTGATGATTGCCGGCATATACCCGGGCAGCAAGGCGGCCCTGTAACTCAGCCAATGGTGGAATCGGTCCATCAGAGTCCACACAACCAATCACCGACAGGGTGTGCTGCTGATGAAGTGGGAACATCATCTTGTACAGACTCAACTTGCCATCAGCTGGAACAAAAACATTTTTTTCTCCAAAAGGAAGAATAACAATTTCTTTCGTACAATATAATTTCCCAGGACATCCAGCATGGCCATCTTTTTAAAATATAAACCTGAGGCCATTTTAAAAATTGCTTTCTGGAACAATTTGTTTTAAAAAGATTTGCAAGCCCTTCAGTCAGAACACCAGGGTCAGTCCCTAATGTATGAAGCTAATTTCCAGCATACGTCCAAACATTAGTTCAATGACTGAGATAGTGTCTATGTCTTTATGTCAACTGACAGATGTTTCTAAATGATAACATTTGATGGTTGGGTATAAGGGACTTAATTCAGACTTGCTTTTGTTAGGACTGCAAAATGACCCGAGACTATTCTCCATTTACGGAGAACCGTCATTAGAAAATGCCAAGCTTGACTTTTCTGTTATGACTTAGATAGTTTTCATTTTTTTTGTTTTTAGAATTTTATTATTCTTATTCTTACCTCCTTGTAATGGCTCATCTGTGAAGTCTATAAAGAAATCATATCCAGTAGCAAACAAAACGGCGTCCAGGTTCTTGATGACAGTGCCATCGTCAAATTCAGCTTCATGGGGTCCAAGACGAACCAGCCTATTGACAACTTTAATCCTCCCACTCATAATTATATACTGTACTCTGTCGCTGAGCATTATTCTGGTGCTTGACGGGGGAGTTGAGGGGGCGAGCCCTGCTCGCCTGTGATCCAGACGCTCATTACTTAAGGCCTTCTCCAGCTCGAAGATCTTGTCAGGATTCCAGTAGTTGCACCTCTTAAAGATAGCCATGTCCCACGGTTGCCCGTTTTTGACACATAGTGGTAGCATATACATACCGTCTCCAACACAGTAATATACCTACAGAAGAATAAAGAAGGGACGCATTACATACAGACATACAGTTTATTCAGTATATAAGGCCATGTGACCAATAGTACAGTTTAGTTTTAATAAGTAAATGACAATCAACGTGATGTTGAACATAGGATAACCTATAGTCACCTTTGTCTAAGTACATGTTTTAGAAACATTGCTGAACTTAGATGAAGCTTTATATTTTTCACAAATAACAAGAACATTCAATTCGTCTTTAATCACCTGTTTGGTAGAGTTAGTACGTATTTAATTAAACTGATGAATGTCCTTGGTTCTATGACATTAAAGTGGCATGGAAGTGATGGAGAGATATTCTAGAGCTCTTGTACCACAGTTAAATAATGTTCTGGTTGTAACAATGATTTAGCACTAGGATAATGCTTGCAAAATATGTGAAGAGGAGATTTGTTGTTACAGCTTTGCTGAAATATATCAAATTATCTTTGTTTATATGTAATTAATTAATTTTTTTCATTATCGATGTCTTGTGAGATCCATATGAAGGAAACTCCAGAATTAACATGTTTAACACCAGCCACCAAATTGGTTTTCGCTTCATCATATAATTGCTTTAGCATTTTGTAACATTAAAATTGGTACCCGTGGGATTCCATTTTTTAAATAATGTTACCTAATATTTAACAACACACAGCTAGTAATGAACAGATATACTAAAGAGACCAGTCTTATCAAATACTGCCTATCTGAAGCATATTTACCAATGCATAGAAATCGTTTAAAATACAAAGTATGAACGTTTTTAATGGATTAAAAATATTTAAGCCCAACATGTATAAAATTTGCTGTCGAAACTGAGATCAAAGTTGTTTTCCTTAAATAACTGCGTCAGATGCCTGTACCGCTGAGGTCTTACAAGCCTTTGACAAGTTTAGTCTTGCCCGACATTAAAAGTCCTCAATACTCATAATAGCTAGCAACGTTAAAATGCTTATCAAAATATATAAAATTACCAATTTCTCAAGGTTCACTTCTAAACCCCACTTAACACAGGATGACTGTAATACACTGAGCTGAGCAAGGCTACCACACAGTAGGACACAAGATCAACATCATCCGCAAACAGCAATGGCATATAATCTATAAAGTCTTCTGTCACAAACACACCATGACGACATTGTTTGTAAACTTCAGAAACAAGTACGATTAGGAAAAAAATATATGAATAAGACGGTGCCCAAGATGCAACCATAAAGAACACCACTGGATGTAGTAAAACATGAGTTATACCCCGGTATGTGTTTACACATGCTTTGACTGAAGAATGTAGAATTTTAAGGACTAGTGACAGTTTTCCATGACATCCTTTAGGTACAGCAGGTTTTCTTCTATCAACGTAATCAAAAGCTTTACGTAAGTCAACAAAGGCGCCATAAAAACGACATCGATGTTTACATAACTATTTGGAGCATAAAGACTGTAAAACAAAGAAACTGCCAACTGTAGAATATTCTGTGCGAACCATGCTTGAGCTTCAGACATCATATCATTTACATAGCCAAATTCTAAGTCGTTTTTAACAATAAATGAAAATAGTTTTCCCATGACTTTCAAAACAGATCTAACTCTGTAATTGTTTGTTTGACTGGCATTTCCTTTTCTGTATAAGACATTATCATTCCAATATAGAGGCGCGTTAATACCATGCTAGTAGTAGGGACACAAGACCTGTTTCATCAGCTAGATTAGATATATGCTGCTGTTGTATTTGTGAATAATGGTGACATATTTCATGCCAACATTTAACATTGTTAACGTTATTTTGTCTGTTTCATGGTCCTGATATTATCTTATGTCATCCATATATTAACTTGTGGTCAGCCGATATTATTTTATGCCCTACATATATTAACTCGTGGCCAACTGATTTGTTTATATGTCATCCATATATCAATTCGTGGGTAGCAGATATCATCTTATGCCCTCCATATAGCAACTCGCTGTCGCCAGATATGAATGCATGGCCTCCAATTAGTGTAGCTTGCTGCTTGACATTACAGAGGTGCAAGGTGTTAAATTGTGCATCTTGAAAAGATGTTTTATTCGTGTCTTTCACATTGCAAAGCATGAAGTTATTCGTGCTGTATAAACGTTGTGCAGTATACATTTCCACGTATTAAGATATTTACTAGTGAGCGAGATTGTTTGACACTGCTTTAAACAGCATTTTAGTCAAATCGCGGCGTGTGGTTGAAGAGCAGACGAATGAAGAGTCCCATTATTTCACGCACAATTCTTTTTTTATGAATTAGATTAGAAATACAATATATACAAGTCTAGTATTTTTGAAAAAAATGGTCCCATTTAATGCTTGTTCAATTTCCGATTATGTTTAATAGAATACACAAAATGTCTTCCAGACCATACAGCCTAAACAGAAATTGTTATACTGTTCAATGAAGTCACCTTGTACAATTTAAGACATATGAACAATACACATTTGTCACGTTTTGTTTGCTATCCCAATAATAATTAGATAAAACTCAAGCACACGAATAGCATACGCTATTTGATCTGTTTACTACCAAGACAGATTGGCCCTTTTTACGTTAAATATTGAAATAAAGGTCGTTATGAAGATATCATAATTATGATATTTGTAACTATTATTATGATAAGAGAGAATTTGATATACTATTTGACGTACCTGCTGTGCATAAGCTGAGCACGCAGCTGCTGTATCTCCAGATGAATGGGAGTTTCCTTAAGGCACAAACATCAAAATGAGTAGAGAACATTTTGCAACACATTTTCAATAGTGAACCACAGACATTGTGTGTACCGCCTATTATCCGCGCTTCGATACGGTGTAACAATGGATATTAGGATCCTGATTCGTTCAGAAACATGACCTGAGATATTTACTGATGTTTTAGCAGTCCCAAATTATCCAATGACAATAGAAACATTTACTTTGTCTTCATTGATAATGAAGCTGCTCATAATAATGACAATTATATTTATATCAAGAAAGTAAGTTCTTGTGATTACTAGACGAGTCCGAATCGTAAATATGATATATTAGGAGTACGAATATGACTCTATCCTCATGAAAATGCAGCTGGTCGTCATATTGACATAAATATTAACATCAAGTAAACTATTATTGAGAGTCCTTATTGTAAATATTTAATTTGGAATAAAAATGGATCATAAAGGCATTTGCGATACGGAAAGAACAAAAGGAAATAATCTCGTTATCTTATGTCATTCTTAATATAATCGATGTTTAAGATGTATGTGAATCAAACATACAGTGAAAAATGTTTTGCAACCATGTGTTTTCAACAAGAATACCCACACATCGGGAAAGGCCTGTCTGAACTGTTTATAAACGTTGTGAAATGTGAAAGCGTTTAAATCTCTTTCTGCTAGACAATCTCGTGTCAATATTTATCGTATTGGCTTACGCATGGAAAACACTAACATATTTTGAAAAGAATATGCAACACAAATTACTCACCAACTATAAGTACAGACTTGTCCCTGTATTGCAAAGCATCTTTGAACCTCATAGAATGTTCAATGCTTCCTTTGAAAGTATCCAGTCCTTTTATATCAGGTGTGCGAGGCTTCTTGTAGAAACCAGAGCAGATCATAACGAAATCAAAGATGTCCCGTTTGGTCTTCTTCTCGGAATCCATCGTTTCCACCTCCCATCTTCCCGTAACGTTGTAGTCCCTTGACTTCTTTATGTCATTGACCCTGGTGTTGAGGTGGATGTATTTGCCGAGTCCAAACGTCTCACAGTAGCTCAGGATGTAGTCGTAGACCATGGTGCGTGTCATGAATGGCGGAATGTGGGGAGGGTAGGGGAAATCGCTGAAGCAAAACATCTCCCTACTGACGTTCGTTGTCAGATACTCAAAGGCTCTTGCACCCTGCCCTTCTCTGTATTCTTCCGTGTAGTACCAAACACCACCTAAACGTGATATTACACTTGTTAACCCTTAATTATTACCACGTTGCATATGTTCATGTAGGGCCTACTTGGAAATAAGGCTAAGCACCGCTTTCTTAAAATAACCATTTTTTGAAGTCGTATCATGTGTTGCTGTTTTGGTGTAATATATTGTCATATACTTCATATTGAAATGCAAAAATCAAATATGTAATGACCTGTTTTGTAACTATTGCATGGCTGTCGTTATTGACGACTCTGTTTACTGTTTCCTCTGCTTCTGTGTTGGATCTTTGTGACCATCTGGAGAATGTACTTTCATCAGGTATTGGGAGTATAACTGGCTTTTATCAAAATCAGATAAATGTCACTTGTAGATATTATACAAGGAAATACATAGAAGTTCGGGATAGATGACAATTAGGAGGAGGATGCTTATATCGTTCCCAGATGTATACACGTAGGTATGGGCTGGTTATAAATGAGTCTAGCGTTAGAGTGAGACAGTTGAGTTAATATTACTTTATACCCTGGTTTGTTTCAGCTCAGATTGGTTGGTTGGTTGGTTGGTTGTTTTACGCCACACTCAGCAATATTCCAGCTATATGACGGCGGTCTGTAAATAATCGAGTCTGGACCAGATAATCCAGTGATTGACATCATGAGCATCGATCCACGCAATTGAGATACAATGACATGCTTTAACCAAGTCAGCGAGCCTGACCACCCGATCCCGTCAGCTCAGGAATAATAATGTTTCACGGTGTTACATGAGGATAGTTTTAAAACTAAATGGATAGTTTCGCAGCTCAGGGTCTCATTGATAAACGCTGGTCCCAACCTCCAGCAAATGATCGGATGTGTTTAACTTATAATTCAAGGATTATCAACACTGAAAATAAGCTGAACAATAAGTCATGAACGAGGGGCTTTCATGCAGTGTGCTGTCCAAGTTATTAATCGCTGATCTCAATGTTTGATCATCATCACCTTATATCAGATCTAGCGTAAGTTGGCGATGGGTGAACACTGAAACTCAAAAGTAAATTATTGTATGACTCGGATGAGGAACGTGTTACATTAAGGTGGCAGACGCATGTCGTTTGGGTGTCACACGTATGATTCACGTACAGGTGAGGTGAAATTGGGTATAACGTCGCGTCCAAGATTATTGCACGTATATAGCGACGTGCATGCACGTGTGTGTGTGTGGCTGCTTGTACTAGTCCGGACTGATGCCGATTGATAGTGCTAGCTCACTGAGATACCATGCCGCAGTTTAACATGAATACCCTACTCAGACACAGTATACTGACTCCGAGCCGACCAGTCCTTGTTTTAGCCCCTTAATGCCGAGCGCCAGACAGGTTAACAACAAGTACCATCTTTTAACGTCTTTTGGTATGACGCGGCCGGGGATCGAACCCCGGCCCAGGCCTTCCACTCTCCGGGCGGACGCTCTACCACTAGACCACGGAGGCGGTCCGATTCACGTACAGAGCTCCGCGTGGTAGAGCGAGTGGCGGGAGAAGGAAATAAAACTGTGTAACCCTTATCTTCTGTCGGGTCTTCATACCGTTTGTAATGACCCGTTATATTGCAAACGTATATAATAACAGTACCAGTAGTTACGGTATACAGCGGCTGGTCAAAAAGATCTAAGCCTGACTAACTTTCAGCTATGGACAATAACCAAGTGAACCAGTCAATGTTGTGCATTGTTTGAGCAGTTCATTGCAAGTGTATTTGGTCTGTTGAGGTCATTTGTATATTAGTGACAGCAAGTTGAACGTGACAGGGGCCAAAATGGACACGGAAATGGAAAAGAAGGAGTACCGAGCAGTCGTCTAGGTTTTAACTTTAGAACAAAGTACTCCCCAAGAAATTCATAACCGCATGCGTGTGGGGCAACGTGAACTATCTATTCTACTGTTAAACGTTGGGCAGCTATGTTTAAGGCTGGGAGAACAAGCTTTGACGATGAGTCTGGACCAATCTCATTAAAATCAGACCTTAGTTCTCGCTACCGCTAAACAAAGATCTGAGGAAATCCCATTACGGGACACGTCAGACCGACCGGCCAATAGAATGACCAATCAGAAGGCAGCTTTCTCGTGCTTTACGGCACTAATTTCAAATTGGCGACTACGCTTCGAAACATATTTGGACAAATTCTCGATTACAAATTTGAAACCTAATCAAAAGGAATGGCTAATAGATGGTCTAGATTGAAGGGATTCAGTCGATAAACCTGTAACTATCGTTCGGAATACCCGGTGTTAAAGTTTTCGAGGTTGTATGATTAGGAATCACATTCCGACTGTCACTTTCATGATCTGGTAAGCGACGCTCTGATTGGTCGGATGAAAGGTCGTTCTGACGTGACCCCTTATGGGATGTCTTCAGATCTTTGTTTAGCGGTAGCGAGAACTAAGGTCTGATTTTAATAAGATTGAGTCTGGACGTCCCTCAACTTCCATCAAAGAAGATTCAAGCAAGGAGAAAAACTTCTACTGTCAGCTAGACGTATTACCATTGCCGAACTTGAGGAAGACACCAGTCTAATTCATGGATCCATTGAAACTATTGTCCATGAACGTTTACAGATGAATGATATATCTGCTCGTTGGGTGCCATAGTTTCTTAATTCTAATACGTAGGCAAACACAACTGACAATGCCAGAGAAAAGCTAGAGCTAATTGAGGAGGATTTCGTCAAAATCAAAAAGAGATTAGTAACGGGTGTTGAAACATGAGTCTACCACTATGAGTCAAAAACGTCAGTCCATGGAATGGCACCATTCCTGCTCTCTGGCAAGGATGGTTGGTATTGCAACACACGGCCTCCCAACACGGTATTCTTTAAAAAATTAGATCACTGGACTAGATCACTGGATTGTCTGGTCATGCGACATGCATATTAGATGAATGTTTATGATATGATTATTAATGTATAACGTATGATACTCCTGTCACCTCGACATTGTTTAAAACATTAACCCATTCGTGATATACCTTACCAAATTTGTCATATTGTTCGAAACACACAGGCTCCAACCCTTCTTCCAAACACGACTTGATGGCCGCCAAACCGGCGAGCCCTGCTCCCACAATGGCGACTCTCTTCCTTGCGGCCATATCTTTGCTGGAAGAGAGAAGGTTTAATGATATAAAATCAATCGAGATTTACAAAATAAGGGGTATTGGGGTTCTATCTGACTTGGTGATTATCTGGGAACGACCATATGTATGTATGTATATATATGAACATATAAAGATCAATGAAAAATGAGGCGTGGTTTTATTTCACGGTAAGAAATTGTTTCATCATGACGTCATTTCTGGAGATGCCAACGACGTAAATTACATGCCGGCAACGTAGATAAACGCAATGGCCGAACGATCGCTTCCAAAAGTGGAGGGGACACGGGTCGCCCCGTCGTCTAAGGCGCCGCGATTCGCTGTGCAGAGTTGCGTCCCTTGGGCCCGCCAGAAACCTATGATTGTGGGTTCGAGTCCCTGTTCGCCCCGATTATGTCTTTAGGTTTGTCAGCACCATACCCGTGCTCCTGGGTTTTTACGGAAGTGGTAAACGTCTGAGATCTGCATTACTTCGGGCTTTCCTCCCACATTAAGGTGACACGCCGCGATATAACTGGAATACTGTTAAAAGCGGCGTTAAACCCAACTAACTCACTAGGACTATAAATCGGCATCAGTCCGGACTAGTTCAAGCAGCCACACACACATACACACACACACACACACACGTGCATGCACGTCGCTATATAAGTACAATAATCTTGAACGCGACGTTATACCCCATTTCACCTCACCTCACCTCATCTTGAACATCGCGTTTTGATAGTAATTCATAATCCGGTGCTTAAGAGGTAGTCAAAGGCGTACCAAGGACTTTCAACAGATATATTGAGCTTGGTTGCATAATCACAAGACGTGTACGCCAGAGAAGAACCACTCCCGACCATCACCCGAAAGTCACCCCACTGGTCAAAACAACGGCGACAACCATATGAATGGAACACTAAGAATCAGTGATGACACCAGGTGTTCGCGATAAGGGCGAGCACACCATTCCCCATTGACAGCATCATTGTCCCACCACTAACACAATTTACATCAATGAGGGGGTCACGGTTGGCCCAGTCGTCTAAGGCGCCGCGATTCGCTGCGCAGAGTTGCGTCCCTTGGGCACGCCAGAAACCTATGATTGTGGGTTCGAATCCCGGTTCGCCCCGATTATGTTTCTAGGTTTGTCAGCACCATACCCGTGCCCGTGGGTTTCACCGAAGTGGTAAACGTCTGAGACCAGCATCACTTTTGGCTTCCCCCCCACATTAAGCTGACACGCCGTCATATAACTGGAATACTGTTAAAAGCCGCGTTAAACCCAACTCACTCACTACATCAATTATAAGTACTTGCCTGCTGCCAAACGACCCAGCACACGATTACCAGGGTTCTGTGGGTTTAACCTCTAACAAAGCATTTATGTGACGGTCGGTCATGTGGTTGCGAGATCGACAGGTCGACAGATTGTAATGGCGGTCGTCTGATATGTGCATACACGCCCGAGGAGCAGACGTGGGATTAATGTAGGCTGTAACGTGTCTGTTCCCAAATTGAAACAATTGGTTCCACTAGAAACCTCTACGTAACACAGTGTAATGTGATTGGTTGGTTTGTTGTTTTACGCCGCACTCAGCAATATTCCAGCTGTATGACGGCGGTCTGTAAATGATCGAGTCTGGACCAGACAATCCAGTGATTGATACATGAGCATCGATCCAGCAATTCGGATACATGCATCAACCAAGTCAGCGAGCCTAACCACCCGATCCCATTCGTCGCCTCTCAAGACAAGCATAGACGCCTTTTACTGCAAGCATGGGTTGCTGAAGACCTATTCTACCTAGTGTGAAACCAACAAACAACCAACAAGTGATATACGATCAACAAATGTATTATCAACTTGGTTTACAAATCAATACAAACTACTGCACAGCAATTACTATGGCAGTATGCTTTGTTTTCAAGGTTGGTTTGGTTGGTTTGTTGCTTAACGCCGCACTCAGCAATATTCCAGCTATATGACGGCGGTCTGTAAATAATCAAGACAGGAAACATGCATCGTGGTTATATATTAATACATTTCTTCAAACTTGTATGAATGTTATATTCCTTTCAGATCGTAACCAATCCCACTGGAAAAGAAAATATTTGATAATTATCTTTGAAATAGTTCATAGTATGTTCAGGACTTGTTTGTCTATTGTTTAACGCTGAAATCAGTAATTTTCCAGTTTATGATGCCTGCCTGTAATAATTTAATAAATAATGTGTGTGAGTGTCATAGCAACAAATTCATAAGAATGGTTGGTTTAAGATAATGATATAACCTGTAGCCATGTCTTGACTAAGCCTAAAATTGATTACGCTTCACACAATATCGACGTTAGGCATATGCATGAGGGGGCAAGGGTGGCCCAGTCGTCTAAGGCGTCGCGATTCGCTGTGTAGAGTTGCGTCCCTTGGACACGCAAGAAACCTATGATTGTGGGTTCGAATCCCGGTTCGCCCCGATTATGTTTCTAGGTTTGTCAGCACCATACCCGTGCTCGTGGGTTTCACCGAAGTGTTAAACGTCTGAGACCTGCGTCACTTCGTGCTTTCCTCCCACATTAAGCTGACACGCCGTGATATAACTGGAATATTGTTGAAAGTGGCGTTACACCCAACTCACTCACTCACATAAGCTTGAACAGCGCCATCAGGCCTTTAACGTCAGAGATATTTACAGGTATCGATATTAATATAGTACGGAATGGCAAACCTTTAAATATACTCACTGGGACCACAAGGAACAAAAGTTGAAACCTTGTTTATACCTGTTCCATGTCTAATCTTGCAGCCCATATTCAGAACGTACCTCTCGTCAATGAACCCGCTTGAGTCCATAGAAACAAAAACGGGATTGTGCCAAATATTCCATTCCATTGCAACGACCCCTTTAAAGCCCGTTTATGCCAGCTCCCTGGTCATCAAGGAGTCCTCCTGCGGAACGCATACAGAAAATGGTGAAAGATGTTCAGCGTAAAACCCATTGTCAGGTATCAGTCGACCTTCTCCGTCTACAGCGCCAACATTTACGTTAACCAAGAGAAGAAAGAACTCTAGCGCACGCAGTTTATTCTCACTCAACGGGACCTTTGCGATATTCTCGGTAACCGTTGTGGTTCTTTTTGTGGCCTTATTAAAAGGCCCGCTGAGGACAGCGAGGGTCCAAGTCCTCCTCTGGACATATTGTCTCTTTCTCCGTTTCCAAGGACATCGACGAGCCTGCCCAGGGAGACTTTTCTAACAAGTGACTAACGACAGCTTCGGGAACTTCTGCTTCTAGTCATGCTATTGTTGACTCGACCACAGTCGGAAGATTTGGTTTATTTGCATGAAATTGAGTCATACTGCCATCTTCAACATGAAGACCTTCAATGTTTAATGACTTGATGTCCAAGGACATCGACGAGCCTGCCCAGGGAGACTTTTCTAACAAGTGACTAACGACAGCTTCGGGAACTTCTGCTTCTAGTCATGCTATTGTTGACTCACCCACAGTCGGAAGATTTGGTTTATTTGCATGAAATTGAGTCATACTGCCATCTTCAACATGAAGACCTTCAATGTTTAATGACTTGAAGACCCTCCGCATTTCTACATGACATTAATCAGACTCATTCGTACGACGATTCGTCCCGGCGATTTCATGGTCGTTTTCGCCTTACAGGACGCGTACCTTAACCTACCTATCCATTGGGAGCACAGCTATTCCCTTTTGTTTGTTTTCCAAGGCGGCCATTACCAATGGAAAATGCTCCTATTTGGAATTTCTTTGGCCCCGTGGCTTTCGCCCTCACCAAGCCTATAACGAAGTTCCTCCACATTTGTGGAATCGTGTTCAAGTCCTACATAAACAATCAGGCCAGTGCAGACCTAAATGTTCCCCTACAACATATCGAGTTCATGCAACATCTTCTTCACCAACTTTGTTGGCTCGTCAATATCGGCACGTCCGAGACGACTCCCACTTAGCAGCTCCAGTTTATCCGTGCCCTTTTTTAACACCTGCCTGGGCAAGATGTTTCTCCCTCCGGATCGATGGTAAAAGTGAGTGAGTGAGTTAAAATTTATAGTCGTACCGGCAATATTTCATTCATATCGTGACTAAGCCAAGTTGTACAGTAATAATACGTAATTATAGACTATAAAAGCTGTCGACGAAGAACAGTAAAAGCACAAGATTATCACAGGTATATATTTAAAACTAGCTTGTTACTATAAACATGTGACTATTCAAAACAATACATTATAAAAATTGGCTAGGGATCGCCAGCAACCAAAGTTTGGGCACCATACAAGGGACCATGGGGACTTACGGTACATCTGCTTCCTGCATGGTACCCAAGCAGGATTTACACCATCCCTCTGGCCACTGGTGATTGTGGGTATGTTTAAGCCAAAAGATGTAAAACCATCAAGTATCCTACGATTAAGACCCGTGAAGATTCCGGGGTAGAATAGGTCTTAAGCAACCCATGCTTGCCGTAAAAGGTGACTAACGGGATCGGGTGGTCAGGCTCGCTGGCTTGGTTGATGCATGTCATCGATACCAATTACGTGGGTCGATGCTCATGATAAAAATCGTGGAAAACAAAACATACAGCTGTGCTTTGAATGAAGTGGGACTTACATACCCTCTCAGGGGGGACAATTATTTTACGTTACTTCAACCCTCTTTGAAGGTACAGCCACTAACAATCTCAGTTATCAAATCATTATACCAAATTAAAATCACTTACTTTTTACAATACACATTATCAAAATTTATCAATTAACTCAATTTCTTTTAAAAATCCAAGAATTCAACGAGAACCATCGGTTCCATTCTCGTCAAAGGCAAACATTTGTTCAATATGCGACGCCATCTTGGATTACGAGGCGAACTACTGCTCGGGCCAGATCGCGTGCGCTCGGCACAGCACGGCTCGCGTAATATCTCGAGCGCCCGCCCTCCTGAACACGCCTCTGAATAATACTTTGATAACGCCGATTGTTTGCCATTTCTAACATGAAGTTCTCATCTACAGTTTTGGTTGGGCTTGTCATAGCTATTGTAATGTGCTAGCAGAAGAGAAGGTACGTTAACTTTTACATGTGTTAGTTTACTGTTACATAAGTGGTGCCTTGCCTCGTGTTGTAACACATGCATTCGTTTGTGAAAATTTCGATTCCCCACATTATTACGTTTAGGTATTAACATGTATGTTGTAGCAATAAATGTAATAGGACAAGGTCATATTCCAAATCAACAAATACAAATCTTCCAGTAAAATGAAAGGAAGATTTCAATTGACAAACTGTCTGTCTATCCGTGTGAAATTACTACATTCCGTACGAGTATTGTACCTTTAAGTTAATAGAACATGCGACCAAAGGTCTACGTGAGGGACATGAATGGTATTCCGTGTCAATGAGTGATTTTTTTCAAGTGTATACACTTTTGCACGGCAGTTTAATACCCCAGCAGACGGCAAATTCCAGTTTGGCTTCAAATGTTCTATTTAGAAGTCACTGAGTGCATCTACTGAAAATGTCAAAACAGTACTCACTTCCAAAAATAAACAGTTGGAAATGTTTCACGGACAGTTTATCGGGTGTTCTTATTCATTCGTCTTATTTAGTCTAGTTAAAATCAAGCTCAAACTGTCTGACGCTACCAATCTTGCCGTCTCTCCTGCTGTATGGCCGGCGATGATGGCAGCTAAACACGTCCATGTTTCAAAAACTCAAGTTTATCGTAAAGGTTACATTGATTACATTCTGTGATAAATGTTCATTAATGTTCATGCACATCAACGATGTTCATGCACATGAACTCGAAAGTTTTTGTGAACTTGGAGCTCGGCGCTCGCGGGGTTGCTAATCGCCCCAATTAGGATTTCTCAAAACATTAATGTCAGCACGGGTTGCTATTCGGCTCTCTTCAGAAACATTTTGAGGAATCCTTTTCAGTTTTGTAATTTGTATTATGACAGTTTGGGCTACATAGTCCTACTGTGTTGCTTATCCAAAATTCGTCAATGACCCGTAACTAGCACACTTTCGTTCACTGATATATATAGCTATCATATTCATATCAAAATATGATATTATTTTCCTGCTAATATTTCAGCATTTGATGATAAAATCAGAAATTAAATTTACTTCAGTTTGTTTTCCTTTATCTGGCTGGATTTCCAGCGTAACCAAAAACGGTGTGATCGAAATATGAACGAATGAATGTAGCGAAAGTAACCCCGCAAAGGTTAGGGTTCACAATCAACCAATCAAATGCCCAGAATAACTATAAAGTAGTGTGTGTACACTACAAATATCATAGAAATGTACATTGATATGTTTTACACCTGGGGTAATAATGCTGTTATTAAGTGCATTGATATATTTAACATGTTTCATAGCAGTGTAACAGGGTCTATTTCGTTTCCTAACG